CTGAAGAGAAGGAAGAGGAAGGCGGAGGGGGATGGCAGAGGCCCGGAGCGCCTCCCGCTTCTGGACTCCATTTGTTTCTTTTTAAAGACGAACAGTGGCTTCAGAAATGCAAGTTGTCCGCACAAAGATCCACCTGTGGTTGATGCAGGACTTCTGAGGTGGGGAGGGAGAACATGAGTTTTTGCCCTCCTTCCCTGCAAAAGACGGCTCTAAAAAGAGACTTGCGCATTCCAAGACATTCTTTCCAAAAAAAAAAGTTAAAAATAAAAAGATAAATACTCAACCAAAAAATAAAAGTATTTGATAATGATGGTCTCACATGTTTGCCTTTCTTCTAAAATATCTCCCCCCTCCACTTTTTTCCACTGGAGGGGATGGGTGGGGAGAGACCTCAGCAGAATTTTTGTTTAGATGTTGAGGGTTTTCCCGCAACACAGCACCTTCTCAGCCGGTTTCAATCGGATCAAAAATAGATGTTTATTATTTACCAACAGCTGCAGTCAGATCAGGCCCTACCGCCACCATTTTTTAAAAATTTTGAGGGAAGAGGGGAGGAGGTGCCGACCACTGCGTCAGTGTCTTTGCCCTGGGAATTCCTTTTCAAATAATCCGATTGGGGAGGGGTCAAACCCTTTTCTTCTGCCGACGGTTATACCTCGAGAATAAAGCAGTTTCTGGCGATGGGTTCCCAGGTCCCTGTGCGGGCGGCCCGTGCCCAGAGGGCCCGCGGGCTTCCGGCTCAGCTCACATCACACAGGGCTTGATGTCTTGGTAGGTGACCTGCTGGTGGTAGTAGGAGCCACCGCCGGCGGAGTGCATGGAGGAGGACGCCATGGTGTTGAAAGAGAAGACAAACTCCTTTCGGTCACACATACTGGGCGACTGGGAGTGATACCGAGGGATGCCTGCGAGGGAGTGACAGGGACTAGATAGAGTTCAAGGTGGAGAAGCAGTGATGCCCACTGCCCTGGGGCACAGGGCCCTATCTTCCCCATTCTCTGCGCCAGCGCCCAGGCCCCCAAGTTCCCGGCTCTCCTCTCAGTCACACCCTGGGCTGTGCGCCCTGGGGGAGGTAGATCCCTGATATCGGCCACCGTCCTGCTCCCCGGAACCACCACCACCTGGGCCTCTGCCCCCTTGGACACCGAGCCCAAGCCAGGGGCTTCCGGGGGCCGAAGAGGAAGGGGTGGGGGCGGGGACCAAGATGTGTCTTCAGACACCCAGGAGGGCCCTGGCAGCCTCCACCTCCTGGGCAGCCCGAGGCCTGGCCTGGGGGCAGCCACATCCCAACCCCAAAGGCTGCGAAGGCCTCCGTGCAGGGAGAGGCAGGCCTGGGAGCAGAGAAGTGCCCCTTGGAGAACTGGGCCCCCCCAGGACAGTGAGAGCCCAAGAGTTTGGAGCTGACCAAGCAGGGCAACCCCAGACCCCCGCCGAGAAGCGGCCTTTCAAGCCAGCCGGCCCAGCTCCTGTCTCCCGCAGGCGGCTGACAGCTGACCCCTGAGAGGCCCCTGCTAAGCTCGCTCCTTGCTCTTTCCAGAACTAAACCCATGAGGCTGCTGGTGGGTGCTGAGATGCGAGAGCTCAGGAGGGAAGACTGTTCTGCATCTCCTTTCCGAGGGTTGGGGAGAGGATAACCGGGGACCTGAAAACTTGGATCCTGAGAAACAAAGCGTCTGTGGGGCCTCCGACTCTGTTCCTTGCTCTGGGCCTGGCCACAGACCCTCTCTGCCTGTGTCACCACCTAACGCTTCCGACTCCATGTTCCTAAGGCCAGGCCTGGTTCGCTGAAAGGCCAGGGCCCTGAGCCTCTGCGCACCAGGCCCACGCGGCTTCAGGCCTAACTCTTCCGTTCTGCCCAGGCAAGGAGCAGAGGCAACTCTCCCCGAAGTTTTCTGAGTGACCACCCAGGGAGGGTGAGCCAGCTGGGAACTTGAGATGTGAAGCCTAAGGGACAAGAAGTGACTTAGAATATTTGGGTCTGAGTCTTTTCGGTGGGACCTAGCCATGCTCCGGAAGGCTAGCAGCCTGCTGTTGTAAAAGAAAAAAAAGAAACGACATGTTGTCCCAAATCGGGGACCCAAGCTGCAGACACCCCCTCAAACGGAGAGAGGCGGGGCTGAAAGACACCAAGTATTGGGGTTGGCACCCCACAGAAGTGGCTGCAGGCTCTCACCCAATGGCAGCCAGCAAACTGGGGTGCCTGGTCCGCAGCGCACTCACAGACGTCCGACTGCCCCGGGAGAAGGACCGCCCAGACTCCCCACTCACCTTGCAGCTCAGCTGGGGCGTTGTGGCTGTTCTGGTGCAGATAGGGCTGGTCCAGGGAGTGCGTGGAGAGACTGCCGGACAGGGGGTTAGCCGCGGGGTTGCAGGGGGACAGGGGCTGCTGCTTGATGTAGGAGGCGCCGCTGTTGAGTGCTGCGGAGGCCGAGGGTGGCCAAGCGGCCGCGGAGCCCGAGTAGACAGCGTGAGGCTCCATGACCCCACCGGCGGCGGGGAGCAGCGGGGAGGCGGGCACCGAGCTGTCGTGGTGAGGGTACTCGCCCGCCGCTGCGCCACCGCAGCTGCCCATGTACGAGTGGCCGCCATTGGCGGGCAGGTGGGGCACCGAGTGGCTGGGCAAAGCCATGCCGTCCACGTTTCCCGGCAAGTGGCCATTCATCATGCCCAGGCCTCCCTCCAGCGCCAAGCTGTTGGGCGGACACGAGAGGCCGCCGGCCGAGCTCTGGAAGCCGTAGGTGTCCGGGAGGTGGTTGAATCCCAGCCCGTTCATCATGCTGTACATGGGCTTGAGTGCCTGGCATTTCCTTCGGAAGCCGCGGGGCCGGCGGCGGAACGAACCCTCCTCGAACATGAACTCGCTGGCCGGGTCGATGGTCCAGTAGTGGCCCTTGCCCGGCCGCCCGAGGCCCTTGGGCAGTTTGATGAAGCACTCGTTGAGCGAGAGGTTGTGGCGCACCGAGTTCTTCCAGCCCTGGTAGGAGCCGCGGAAGAAGGGGAAGCGGCTCTGCAGGAACTGGTAGATCTCGCTGAGCGTCAGGCGCTTGGTGGGCGAGCTCTGGATGGCCATGACGATGAGCGCGATGTACGAGTAGGGCGGCTTCTCCGGGCGCCGGATGCCGGCGTTCGTCTTCTTGGCCTTGGACGGGCCGGACGACGCGGGGTCCATGGCCGCGCCGCCTCCCCCGCCGCCGCCAACGCCGCCGCCGTGCGGTGGCTGCTGCTTCTCGGGCGCCGAAGACATCGGGTGGCTGCTGCCGCCGCTGCTGCCGCCGCTGCTCTGCGCGGCGGACGAGCCGGGAGGAGGAGGAGGAGGAGGAGGAAGAGGAGGAGGAGGGGGAAGAGGGCGAGGGGGAGGGGGCTGCGCGCGCGGGGCTGGCTGCGCCTCTGCCGTCATCGGCAGCCACTTCTCGGGAGCGAGCCTCGGCGCGCCCTCCCCCGCCCTCCCGTCCGTCCTCCCGGAGGAGCTGCTGGAGCGGCCGGCGGTTGGCGTGGAGCCCCCCTCTTTCTCCAGCTCCCTCCTCCCCCACCTCTATCTCCTCCCTCTTTCCTTCTCGCCCTCCCACAAGGGAAGGAACAGAGCGGAGGCCGAGGGCAGCTCTTGGCAGCAAGGGCGGAGGCCGCGAGAAAGCCCCCCCACCTTTTGGAGGGGGGGTACCAACTCCAGGGCCTACAGCGGTGCGCTCCCGCAGGGAGCCGCGCTTGGTCCCCGCCACCCGCAGCGCTCGGCTCTACGGCTCCAGCAGAGGCTGCTCTCACTGCACCTTCTCTCAGCCGCGTCTCCCCGGCCGGCGTTAGACCCTCCAGGAGTTTCCTCCTCACCCTGCCCCCCTCCGGCCCCCACGTTGGTGGGCGCTTAAAGGGCCGCCACACTCACCGCGCAGAGTCTGCCCGCAGAACCCGCCCCGCCTCCATCAACCTGGCCAGCAAGTGTTAATGCGCCCTCCGCCCGCGGTTCAGCCCCGCTGTGCCCAGTCCCCCTCCTTCCTTGACCGGGCTGCGCGACGGGACACGCACCCCGGATCTCGGACTTTCCCCCGACGCGTACAGACCAGTGGCAAATCGCAATTGCGGCGGCGGCAGCGGCCTCCAGGTCGTGGCCATCACGAGTACAGCCGGCTCGGCTACGATCCTCGCGGCAAGCGGGCGTACTTTCCCGCGAGGGACCGCCTCCCTACTCTCCCCGCCCCGGGAAGGACAGCGCCGCGCCCGGGACTTTTCGGACTCGCCCAGCAGCTCGCGAGCGAGCGGGCAGCCGCCGGAGCCGAGCGCAGGCAGAAAACGAAAGCGCAGGGCGGATCGCTGACACTGTGTCTGTGGAGCTGCGGGGCCCAGCGGGAGCGAGTGAGGACGGCTGGTCTTCGCGGACCAAAATCGCTCAGGCTCCCAGATCAAGCGGCCCCGCTCGTTCACGGACTCCTGCACTCAGTCACTCATGCACACGTATGCATGCATTGATGAACATGCAAACCGGGTCAATGACTAGATCCAGATGTGTAAACTCAATCCCATTTGTGCGTTTCCACTCAGGCACACGGCGCTTCCCTAGTGCGCGCCACTAATGCGATCATTCACGCACACACAATAGGCCCATAGGAGCTTAAATTTGCACCAATTCCCACTCACGTGTACATTAGCCACGCTCGGATCTGAACGCACACGTAGCCCGGTGGACTCCCCCCCTCCACACACACACACACTGAAAACCCGCCTATTATTTGGCCCCACAGTCCTGATGTCCCCACTTTCCAAGAGCAGGTTCCGATTTCTCATGGATGGTAAAGGCCCTGGCAGGAAGTTTATGCGGTTCAATGTAAACATGTTCTGAGGGATTCTTTAATAATAATAATAATAGAGAATTCCGCGTGCGCGGGGGGAGTTGGCCTAATGCCCCTGTGGGCTGGCCTGCCGCCGCAGCGGGGCCTCTGACACTGCGCGCCAGGCCAGGTTCCGGAAAGCTGTGTGCGCGGGCGGGGAGCGCCGGCTCAGACGGCCCTCAACCGCCTGGCTGCCCTCAGCAGGGGGCTCGCACGCACTCATACCCCAGCCAACTTTGTAGCATTGGGGTGAGAGCTAGGACGGGGTGGAGGGACAGTGGCACCGAATGCCGGACGGTGCAGGAGCCGGGCGCAACGCGGCACACAAGGACCCAGGTGAGTGCTATTTGAGCGCAGACTGAGGGGCACCAGGCCCGGCCTCTCCCGCCTGGGCCTTGGGTCGGGTGGAGGGAGGTGAGGGGTGTTTTCGCGGGTCGACGCGAGGAGCCAAGACGCTGTGTCCTGGCTCGAACTGGGGTGAGAGGCTAGTGCCGGGCTCGGAGAGCAGCCCGCGGCGCTTTTCAAAGCCCACCGGTCTCTCGCGTTTCTCTGGCCTCCTTGTCGCCTGCTGATGCCCCCTCCTCATTCGCTGGGCGGTAGACGCCTCGTCGCCGTTGGGGCGCCTGGCACGTTCTTGCAAGGAACTGAGGGACTCGCTGGCGTAGTCTGGCCAACGATCGTCGCATGATCCGGCGGAGCCACTCTCGGGAGACGCAAGAGTCACCTTTCTTGGTCTGCGCTTCCGCCTGGCTCTCCCGCCTAGGGCTCTGCGCGCAGTCAGCCCAGCCGGCCTGGGGAAATGGGGGAGGGGGTGGTGCAGAACGTGACTGCGTTGTGTGTCGTTGTGTCTTCGCGCAGGTAGACGCGCAGTGACAGACCCACCTCCACTTCCCACAGCCCAGCCAGCCACAGCCTCAGCACCTCGCCCGCCTCCAATACACTCCCTTCCCAAGCGCACACCTCGCACACAGCTCATGTGCCCCCACCCTTTCACAGACGCACAGAACTGCCCACCGCTGTGGACACACTTTCGGTTAAATGCACACACTTCTGCACTGCCCGTTCCCCCACACACAGCCAGCCGCACGTGCACACGCAGTCGCACGCACAGCCACTCCACGCGCGCGCGCACGTCCACGGACAACCGCACTCTCACATTCTATCCCTCCCTCACTTTTTTCCCCCTCCGCCAAACGGCAGCTGCAGGCAAGGAGGCCCAGGCGGGAGGGAGGTTCCCGAGAAGGGGTCGCTACCACCAGCTGCTGGGAGCACATCTGGCCTTTAGAGGAAAAGCGAGCGGGGGAGGCTGCTGCTCGAAAGCCAGCGAGGGGTGCAGCACTCCCCACGGCTCCCAGAAAGTGATAGGAACGCCTCCCTTTCTCTCGCTCCTCCTCCACTGACCGGGTGCCTCCAAAGTGAGGGCGATCTGTACAGCATGAAGTTGGGGGGCTCCTTTCCGGGAGCCCCTTACCTCTGAGCCTTTCTGCGCTTGGAAGGGGCTGCAGATTTTCTTGTGGCTAAACGGAGCAGGCTTCCTCCCTCCTGCACATCCTTGTCTCTCATTGGCTTGCCTTGGGGCACCTATATGTTTTGGGGTGGGGAGCTTATGCCTACCTGGGCCCGAGGTGTGGAGTCGGGGCCCCACCTGGCCTCCACTTACCCCTCAGGCTCTGACAGCTGCTTTGCAAAGGAAGGACAATAGTTAGCATACCACGGAGGGCATGGTGGCCTTGGAGCCTCAGGAATGTGGCAGACGGAGGCTCTCCCCAACCCCTAATCTCCACCAGGCGGGAGGTAAAGGGGGGCATGAGAAGAATGGGAAGGGGAAATGAGCTCCCAGATCTGTAATTTGGGGGGGAAACCCCTCTGTTCTGGGGGGCGGGGGGAATCCACAGCCATAGCAAGGGGGGCTTTTCCACGTGCCCAGGAACTAAGCTCTTGGCTCTCAAGATGCTCCTGAGAAGTCCTGCCTGACCTTGCATTTTTAAGGTGGGGAAACTGAGGCCCAGGGAGGTCCAGACATGGGTATGCCAGTGCTGATAGGTAAACCTCTTCATCTTCCTTCTCCATCCCCAAGAACAGACTGTCATTACATTTTACCCTCCTAGGTGCCTCGTTGCGGGCCAGACTAGAGAGTAGGATTCAGAAAGGCTTTACCTCCAGCCTCTGGCTTCTCAGGGGCACCAAGAGAGCTGTTGGAGAATTCATGATATAATAATAGTACCAACAACCACAAACATAATGTTAATAGGACTTATCAATTCCTGATCATGCCCAAGTACTGATCATCACCTTATTAACACCCCCTGGGATGTTCTCTGGGCTGTGAATCCCTTTGACAAGCTGTTGAAAACTACATCCTCCCTGCCCTCTCGACCCCTGCCCCCACACACACACAGAAGGCGAATACCTGCTACGTTCGTTCGTAGAATAATTTTCAAGGTTTTACCAAACACCTTGAACCCACCATGAACCTAAGACCCTGGTTAAATGCCCCAAAAGATACTTGTTTGATCTTCAGAGAAGCCCCTACCAGGTTAATATTATCTCTCCTTTTACAGATGGGGCTCAGCGAAGTCACCCTGGGCCCTAGTCACCTTGCAGAGCCAGGAGACAAACGCAAGCCTGACTGCAGGATCAGGGGTTAAGCCACTGCCATGGGGAGAGGGTCGGCAGTGCACAGGGCAGAGACCCTCTGCCTGCAGATGCGGAGTCGTTGTTATCGGGACCTGAATCTGCCTCCACCATGTAGGGATGTGGCATGAGCTGTTTGCGCCTTCGTTTCATTTGAGGGGAGGGAATTGTTGTTGGTTTATTTTTTTCCCCAGTCGTATTGATATAGAATTGAAACATAGCATTGTTGAAGTTCAAGGTATATGATGTGTTGATTTAATACTTTATATGTTGCAAAATGATGACAGCAGTAAAGTTCGCCACCACCTCCATTCTTCCAGAGTTAACGTGTGTGGTGAGAGCATTTAACGTCTACTTTGTTAGCAACATTCAAGGGTATGATACATTATTATTGGATACAATCATCGTGCTGTAACTTAGTTTCCTCATCTAAAAAATGGGATGGATAATTGCGCCTTTTTCTTAGGACTGTTGGGAGCATGGGACAAGACTGCACAGAGAAAGACTCAGGCTGTCCAAACAGGCAAACAAACAAAATCAGCTTGAGGGGCAGCTGGAGAAAGTGCAGACTGGGAGGTGGTGGCTTTGCTCTTAGCTTCAAGATACATAAAGAACCCCCCCCCCTTGCATCCCAAATTAAGTATGTGCCCCAGTGCCAGCCCCAGGAATCCCAAAATGGGGGTTGGGGGTGTAAAAACAGACACGCCTGCCTTGTCTCCCACTCCCCAAGCCCAAGGTATTTTTACTGGCTAATTGCTTAAGTGAAGCCGCCCGGGCAGAGAGCTCGCAGTAACCCGAGCAGGGAACCAGATCCAGCTCGGATTGTGCCCGGGCTGGCCTGGGGGCGGGGGCAGAGGCAGCCGCCGACCACCCACCGTGAGGGCAGCCGCCTCGCCTACAGCCACCGCTGCTCTGCATTAGCGCCGGGCCAGCGCCTCCCTTGCCTTCCTCCCTCCAGCCCCTTCCAGAGGACGTCCAAAGGCGACCCAAGGTAGTGTGGGCTTTTTCCCAGACCCGAGGCAGGCACTGGGCAGCAAGGGAAGCCTCCTGGCCTGGGGGCTGGAGGGAGGCTGGAAGGGCTGGGATGGGGCATTTGTAGATGAAAACGCAGCTTAGGGACAGTGGGTTGTGGGGAGAAATGTCAAGGTCAGGAGGAGAGAGGGCATTCCTCCTCCCCGTCATAAAATGAGCGGTGCACAAAAAAAGGGGTATTTCTCTGCATACTCTGAATATGCACATATGTCACGCATGCCAATTTGCAGAGGGGAAGAGCTGTGGAACTAGAGGGGCACCAAGTAGCATCCAGCAAGCACGGTAGTGTCAGGTGGGTGTTCAATACAAGGGCTGTGCACAGAAAAGCACGAGGTATGCAAGTGTGACGTGTTTCCTGCAGTGAACATTAGAGAATGTGGGTGCAGTGTGGTGTCTTCATGTGCAATTAATATTTCAAGGTGTGAACACTATAACCCTTGATGTGTGCAGAATATTTGAGTGCAACGTAAGGTGTTCCGCCCAGAGATCTTTATAAAATGTGTTTAGTATAGCAAGCTACACACATGAAATTGTCTGAGGGTATGTACAATGTAATGTATTCCAGACACAGAATATTGTAGGCTCTGAGGAGAATATAATACAGAGTTATATAGATGGTTGTAGGGTGTCTGTATGATACCATGGGTTATGTCCTACGTGAGATATTGGATTTACACAAACGGTTTCAAATATGTACAATTTGATGCCCATGGGCACAGAACATCATGGGAAATGTGTTGACAATATAGCAGGTCGCAAGGAGAGGGGTCTACACCGGGAAGCTCTCTCCGCAGCGTGTTTACAGCAGAGCATGGCTACGTAAACAGAAGGCTGTCAGGAGGTTTGCATGCAATCTAACATGCGATAGTAGCAATGCAAAGGCCACACGGCGAACGGGCATCGAGGCCTTGACTGTGTGCTCTTCCGGGGCCCCTCAAGGTAACCACTAGTTCATGCAACCCTGACCATAACCCTGTACGGCAGGTTCCGATGTGATCTCAGGTCCCGTTTTGATCTCAGGTCCCAGAGAGGCCAAGGGACTCTCCTACTTGACTTTTGTAGCACTGCAGCATTTTGTCTTGCTGGGAAGGGTGGGCAGCTCTCGAGGTGCTATGGAGGCACAGGAACGATGTGCCTCTATGTGGGCCCTCGAGAGGTTTGTGAGCCTGGGCCCCCCTAATCCTCTATCTGCAGCTGGCACAGAGAAGATGCAGAGGCAAGCGGTGTGTGTGCTGAGGGGCCCAGTGCCTGGGTGTGCTGGGGCCACGGGAAAGCTCCTGATCTAATCCGCACACCCACGTTCTGGGCTGCCGTGCCCATTTGTGCCCATTCAATTACTGTCCAACTCAACTCCAAACCACGGCAGGAAGCTGGACTCTAAGTGCCCCTGAGACTCTTCATGGGGGCACCCAATGTGAGAAGGAGAGAGGGACCACCCGCTGGCCTGCAGAGCCCTGCCACACCCTGTGGACCCTCGGGGGGCCCAGAAACCCCACCTGTTTGGACCACCGGGGCCACATTTGGGGAGCAGCAGGGGAGGGCGTTATCCCTGCACCAGACCCTGGCAGTTCATCTCCCTGTCAATTGTACATTAAGGAGAGGTTCATATTTTGGTCAAGAAAAAAAAAAAAAGCTCTTGCTTGCACTGCTGCAGCCCTGAGCTTGCCCCC